GTTGAAATTATTCTATTTTTTCTCTGGGTCAATAGCGACCAGTTTGGTGGCCCCTGGTGTAGGGGTATAATTATCGTTTACGGCCCGAGGTCCAAGTTATTATCACTGACGAGCATACAGTGTATCTTTAACCATTTTGTAATAATCACATTCAATCATTTTCAACTGATTGGTTGGTCTATGTGTAGGAACTCAAAGCTATGTTCTAATGGTATGATTTTCTCCTGAGTTTCGAAATATCTCAGAATCACTGTCAAGCCAACAATGAAAATTTTACCAATATATGATAAAATGATAAAAAAAATAAAAGACAAATTAAAACATTTTTATCTGGCTCGTTGGTCTAGGGGTATGATTTTCGCTTAGGGTGCGAGAGGTCCCGGGTTCAAATCCCGGACGAGCCCACACTGTATCTTTTGTGATAACGCAAAATATAAAATGGTTAAAAGATATATCGAAACATAATTAATTGTCTTCATGGTCTAATAGTGGGATTTCCTCTTTGGATTCATTGGTTTAGCCTACGACACACGTATAATGCTCATAATATTGGAAGTCATCATCTATGTATCCAAGTGACACGGCACTCGAATTATGTTAAATTTTTTCCGAATTTCGACATACCGACCCCAAAAGGTACGTCATTGCTGCTTTAGGACAAGGGTCAGCAACCTGCAGCTCTTTTAATAAGAAATTACAGCTCTCAGCTTCTTCTTAGAATAGGCCTTGTTGGATAATCCAAAAATAAAACTCTACAAGTACTGACTAATTATTTAATAATATATTATATAACATGAAGTTATATATGGAGAAAATTAAATATTAGTAAAATTGTACTTTTACATTACTTAAATATATCATAATTCATCAAGAAAACTATTAGAATTTATGTTTTTGCTAACCATGAAAAATGTTGTAAGTCACAACACCCTCCCCCCTAATCACATATAAATTATTTTGCAATAAAAATTATTACAAAGCTACATGCATTTAATTTTTGTTAAAAAAGAAAACACATTCTATATGTAATAAAATTTTATATGATATATTATTTGGAATAAACGTTATTAAAATGTTAATTATTAATTAATTTCGTCCTATTAACTATCATCATATATTTCAATTAAAAATAGCATAAATACAGAATAATTCGCAATAAATAAATGCTTACATACAAGGGCGGCTCATCCAAAATGGCCTTAGGGATCGAGCCCTACCTGTATTTGTATAACTAACCCAATAATTGTAGTTTTAAAATCGAAAATTTTAATTTAGAAAAAATACATCAAAAATCACCCAAAATGACATTTTAGATTACATAAAAAAAGTTGAATTGAAATTATTAAATTGTTTCTATTGTCACCAGTCACCTGGATACAATAACTACACTGATTACTATATATATATATTGAATATTACAATAACTGATGTAATGATCTTCGCGTGACTTGGCATGACATGAGAGTGGGACAATGTGTCTCTATCTGCGATGTGTTGTGATGAGATTACTATATGTCACTTATATGATGTCCTGTCCAGACTCTCCTGTCTCGTATATAATCGCATAAAGCCGATATGTACACCCTCTGGTGGCATTTCTCTCACGTTGTCATATATACACGTCAATAATATGTCAATAAATAGAGACATATTCATCCGAATAAAAGAAATAATGTTTATTTTTTTTATAATTTAACAATTGAGTATAATAATTTAATTTATTTTAATTTTTCTTATTATCTAATTTTTTTTAAATTTGTATTAAGTTTGTTGCAATAAATATTATTATTAGTTATTTATATAATAAGGACGGAAACACTGTGAAAAATAACTTTTACTATGTAGTATGTAAATATAAATTATGGTAATTATTGTTTTATTAATTTCACAAATAGGTAATCAATGCAAATTTTATACAAAAAAAAATTGTTTTAAGTTTTTAGGAAATATTCTAAATTATTTATCATATCTAGATTCTAAATGATCTAATTTCTTAAATCTCTCTTATCAAACAATCTTAATATTTTTTGGAAAGTTTTATTTATTTTTCTTTTTTGCAGATTTCTTATATTCTTGTCTTTGTGCACAAAATAATATAATAATTATAACATTTACGAATAAAATGTTACAAATACAATTTAAACAAAAAATTTCAAAAAATCTAAGAAAATATTGTTCTTCTAATAAAAGTTCGATTTTGAGTTTTTCTAAATAATTACTTTTAATACTTCGTTTGGTTCGGCTTAATTCAAAAGAAATTAAATTGTATTTAATTAACAAAATAAATTTTATATAGTTAGTACACAAAATACAGCTCTCATTCTAAAAACGGGACATTTCGGCGTCCCGAAGCTGTGCTTGGGGACAACGGGACAGGCTACCTAAAAACGGGACGTATAGTCAATTTATGTAAACCTAAACTTACAAAAAATATTTTATGATGACGGAAAAGTTGTTGTTCTTTACGAACATTGCATAATGCATAAATAGAAACAATAATATTTCCACCTCATATATTATCAAAAACGAATTATAATTAATTTGATGTTGTTTTTATATTTATTTAATGATGTATTGATACATAAATTAATTGAATTTAAATTTAAAATTAAAATAATTTGTTATGCTTACATAAATATTGATGTTGCATTAATTTACTTCGGTTTCATACTGTTATTAGTGCTAAGAAATAAATAAATGATTCTTTTATCCTCGTCGCAAATTTATTTCATTAACCGGTACACCAGGTTCTCCCCTTGATTAATTGTACGTTCTCTGTCCCCCTTTTCAACCCTCAATTCATGAATACGGAATTAAATAAATCGTTTGTTCTGTTTTCTTTTATTATTTATTTTGCTTTCCTTGAATTCTCCAACATCGAATGAGTACGAGAGAGAATGAGTGAGAACCCAACTTTTTTTGTACGTTCATTTTCGTTACCCTGTTATGTACATTGTTTTCCTTGTTTTTTAATTAATAGAAGCCCGACGGGCAATTTGCATTATGCTTACTTCTACATAATCCCTTTGCCTTTCTTTATACAAATACAATGGGCGTACGGCGTAAGAAGCAAAGCGATTTATTGTATTACACGCGAATTGAGCTTCTCAAATACATTATAATTATATGATTACTTTTGTATCAGTTAACTTTTTTGAAATTATATATATTTATTTTGTTTCTTTTTATCTCTGTATATGTTATTTTGTATGACTGTTATATGTTTAAAAAAGGCGATTTTACGTTTACGCACTTCACGATACTTGCAAAGTAAAGTAACGAGTATATGTAATTAAATAAATGTTCAATTAAACAATACTGAAATACCTCGCATAGTGCGGCTTCGATATTCAGATTCACTATAGTCTGGTTTAGAATTTTCAAAACAAGCAAAAAATGTTTATTTTTTATAAGTATTAATCCGGTTTCAAACAGTTCAGGATATTGGCAATTAACCGCTAATAAAAATATTTTTATCAGTGTTTTTGATTAGATGTGGAATTTAAATTAATTAACAATTTTTTTTATATAAAATAGTGTCTATTGTACATTTTTATCAAAAGTTGATATATTATGATAAAATTAGATATTTGTAAAATGAAAATTGACATAACCTCAACAAAAAAATAATTGACTAAACAAAATAATAACTCTTCTTTTATGACAACCTAGATTGAATCAATACCTCGCATAATGTGGATTATTGGTTCCTCCAAATTCCCGGACTATTTGAAACCAGACTAATCGGGGAACTAAATATATAAACAAACCCCACAAGATTTAAAGATGTATTTATACAAAAATCATGCGTTGACTACTTTTTTTTTTAGAAATTATTTTTATTTTGCTTAGTTTTTTTTTTTTAATTTCCAAACAGGAATATAGTGAATCTGGATTGATCGAAATCGGTCTATGTGTACATTTACGTACATAATAACAAGTTATAAACTTATATTGAAAGAAAATTTTATTTTTTGCATTCACAAAAAAAAACGATTAAATCAAAATTTTAAGACAACTTTTGAAATTATTGCTTGTGAATCAAAATCAAATTATATATTCTTAGTAACAGTTACATACAATTAATTTTATTAAGTATATTAAGTATATAATGAAATTTGGTGTTATGTCAAATAAATTGCGCAATTAATTGATAAAGTTTCTTTTATGACAACCTTAAAAAGTTGATGGATACCTAAAATATATCATTATATAACAATATTTAACTGTAATTACTATATTTTAATAAAATAATTAAAAATTCTTAGATTGGACCGTGACACATATTTTATCATTCCATTATACTGTTAGTATTGCAAAAATATATCGTAAATTAATTTCATTAACTGCTTACGTAAAATAACTTCACTTTTTTAACATTCTCGATAGATTATTTAAAATTCTGAAAGAAATTTTATGTATTATTACTTGCACAATTTTCTTAGCGATTTAGTACTGTTATTTGAGTAAAAAAAATTAATCCTCGTTGCAAGTTCATATAGATTTACGTATTTTTTAATTATCACTTCTTTAACATTTTCAATTGATGGTTTCTTCTTTTTCTAAATACTCCTGTTTTCTAAATAATGTATAAAATGTTCAAATTAGGAATCCATTGACTCACTATATTATCATTAATTCTCCTTTATCCAACTTTATTTGCCAATTATCAAGTATTTATTTTGCAATTTATCTTCGACCTATAAAGGTATCATAATTTAATTGTCTTTGGTTCAGGAAAACATATATCGTTGATTGCGTTTTTTGTGATCAGTTAAATGGATATTTACGATGCCATATCACTTCGATTCCCCCATTAATCCTCCATTTGGAGATTGGTTGGAAGAAAGGAATAAGTAAGGAAGCTTTCAGTTTTGGGACGGCAATAAAAGTAGTCGAGCGTTTGGTGCATGTCAGTGTGTGTATGTGTGTGTCTGTTTGCAGTAGGGAATTTACATTCGTTCCGGATTGTAATGGCTGCAGATAAGGCACTAACTGACCTGTGTGTACGTCATCCAGCAGCAGGGCTCCACTTGGTTCGCATCCAATCCCCAAAACTCCAATTCCTCCTCGAACAATGGGCCGCACACGTCCGAAGGATAATGCAATTTTCCAGTCCTACAAATCAGGACACAACATGAATGACACTGTCACTAAAGAAATCAGCTACATATATTAGTAAATAAATAAACGAGATCCGTGTGGTACCAGCACAATTTTGGGAAAATCAATAATACTGTTACTATGGTTACAAATTCGTTAACCCACAATCGTCAGGTGATGTCAAGAATAAATAAGTAAGAAATTGAACATACATTTATCAGTTACTCCATATGTAGTCATTTTATTGCATTTTGTATTAAAATACCTCATAGATCAAATATGTAGTGGAAATCCAAGTAGGATTATAAATGAACAAGTATTAAAAGTTTTTAGCAAAAATTAATTTAATATCTCAAAAGTATTTCATACGTAAAATTACATATACAGTAAAAGAAAGTTGAACATTAGAAAATACTTTAAAAAATGGTTAGTAGTCATTTGTAACATATTTATTTCTTTTACATTTTGATTTCTGAAATTATTTATTTCGTACATACAAAAACATACAATAAATCTAAAATCAACATTTTTCAACAAAAAAAAAGAAATCTTTAGTGGATATTTTTTATTATATTTTATTACATATTTCTTAAAAATAATTGTAGAAAACAATGAAATCAATCTTTAAGATTTAATTAATAGTTCATCATCGATTCCCCACTGTTTGAAACCGTACTAATCGAGGACTTTAAAACCGCATAAACTATTTGAGATATTAATATATACATAATTATAAAGGGTTGCCCTTTTTTTTGTGCAATTTTTTTATGCGGTATATGAAATCCAACCAATTCCAATGTTTTCTATCAGTGTGCATATGAGGCTGTACAAAAGGAATCTGTTAGTCGATATTGAACCAATTCATCACAAGAAGATGCTCGTTTTGAATTAACACGAGCAGCAGTGAATTATGTATGTGCAGTTTGAAAATGTTTCCATATGTACAATGAGAAATTAAATGTTTTAAAATGTTTCCATGAGTAATTTAGTTATTTATTTGGTTTGGATGCACTTTCTCATGAATTTCGTAAATCTTTGACATATATTCTAAGTGCAATTTTTTGTATCCACAGCATTATTCGACTTTATTTATCAACATAGTTTCCTTCAACGTTTCATTTCAACAGGCGTCGTCTGAAGGTAGGTAAAATTCATATAGATTTATCGATATAGGCGCTATTTATATGTCATCCTACAAACTTCTTGAGTGAGGTGTTATATTCATGAAAACATATGAAGGAAATTATTAAAGGTTGTGTTTAATTACTCCTCAAATTATGTTATTATTTTTTTCAGCATAGCCTCAAGAAATACGTTTTGATAATGAGGTATATTTCATATGCAAATTACTCAATGCATATTTATTATAGGATGGTTAAACATATATTTTTGTATCCTAAATATTTTTTTAATTTCACTTTCCAACTATATTTTATGTTTTTTTTTGTTATTTATAATAAACTATTTGTGATGATGATAATTTATGGTAGACGATTTAAATATCTATTTAATATACGAAAATGTGTACAAATAAAAATAATAATTTTTATAATATTATTTTAAGGGCTCATATGAAATCAATATAGAGAACATAATTAATTGAACCTCCGTTCTCGAACATTTTAATTCTCCAACATTTGGTATCCGAACAATCGAACAATATAATTTTTTTTATTTATTTATAAAGTTTATTTTATATACAAATTACGTAATACATGTTTATGCTATAAAACCATAAACTATATTTGATACTCATAAATAAATTAGAATGTTCTAAATTTTACTTATCTATCTAAATTTTATATTATTTGAATAAATCAATACAAAATAAATTTGTTAAAGTGAGAGATTTACTATAGAACCAGGATTCTTACAAGAAAAATAAAGAAACAAACTTCAAACACAAACAAACTATGGCTTCAATAATAGAATTCATTATAGTCATAATTATTTTTCAAGTTTTCAGAAATAATAATAATCATTTATAATATATTATTATTGTGCTTTCCGCATTGTTTTTACTTATTAAAGCATTTTAATTGGAATATTGATTTGTTTTATTCCAATATCCAAATATGAATTGTCACCTAACAGAATGAATTAAATAGATTATATACAGCTTCAAATCAATATTTTCATTCCGCAAATATAAAATTACAACCGTCCCAGTTATACTTCGACATAATATGCAAATAAACTTTACGTTGGAGATTTTTTTCATTTTCCGCCGAAAGTTAAATATTTTTTTGCTCACTTTTTCACCGAAAATACAATTAATTATCAAATGAAATTCCTAAAAAAAAATAAAAGATAATTTTATAATCACATTACGTCAATTTTCAATAAGTAAATATTAAAATATTTACATAAATTAAACAATTCGTTAAACGTAAGTTAATTGTTTTTATTTAATTATATATTTGAAATTTGATAAACTGATTTAATAAACATAAGTAAGAAAATAACTGATTATTTTTTCTTATATATTTCTAAATTAATTGAAACAAAAAATAGTAGAATTATTTAAAAAAAATGAATATTAAAGATCACTTCTGCCCATCCACCAAATACTCTTTCAATCTTATATATTGTGTGCATTTTTATGTCATAGAAACTATATCTATTATATTGCCATTACTATAATTACAAAGTGCATAAAGTTAACAGATCACCACTGTAGTCTTGATGCAACGCATTATTTAACTATCGTAAACTGATTGACAATAATTGTTTAATAAAGAAAATAGCATAGTTTAAAATTCATTTTTCCATCCTTCAATTATACAGAACAATAATATTCACACTAGTTTTATAAACTTAAGTCTATATTTCTAACTACAAATCTTCTTATAAAGTTGATACTACTTTGGTCTTAAACTAAACTATTTTTAATTTCTATTCTATTAATTATTTCAATTATGCTCATATGTTCATAAAAAAGTGTTTTAACATTCAGAAACAACAAAAATAGAGATTTGAATAATTTTATGTTCTATTTTGGAGGTCGTCAACCTTTTTGCAGCTATTTTTAAAACGCTGATTGCAAAGCTAGTGAAATGAATATTCCAACATAGTCATCATAGCCACCTCTGGTTTAAGCGGAGTTAGATCTGGGAGCTGCAATTTCTCATCAAAAAGCCACATTTCTCTTGAGATACAAATGTATAAAAAAATCTTCATAAAAATATACCATTACCACTGCTAATAATAATAATATTTATTGTAATAGTCACATATAAAAAAAATAAAACATATTTGTATCATAATCATATTACAGGAAAAAAAAGCTTAACTGTTACAAACGGCTATTTCCGTCCCATTACTACTAATAGTGCTATATTTTATAAAATAATAATCAATAAATGGTTCACTATTTGCACAAATTAACATAACAGCCATTTAGCGTCTCATAACTTTCGATCTATAGGTCGAGTGGGACAGTCCACTTGTGGAAATCTTGAAAGCCGCAACAGGCTGCACCATATTATAGTATTTTTTTTATTAGGATTTATACTTTTCGTTTCTGTAATATTACAATAATATAAATTTTATTACGTTTTTCATTTCATATTATCTTATACTTAATGTAATCAAATTATGTTATAAAATTAATGTTATATAAGTATACCTATTTCCTATTTGAATCTTACAAAATTTTCTATACTTACCTAATAAACTTATACCAATATAAGTGACTTTTTAAATAAATTATTTAAATAAAAAAGTGTACAATATTATTGTGTTAAATATTTTCTGTTTATTATCTATGATTTTCCTCCGCATAATATTCAGTTTTTAATACCATTCTGACTATTATCATTAATATATGACTTCAACTGATTTCGGAATTGTTCAACATTCGTTTTTTTTTCTCAGGAAGCTTAAGATCTGTCGATTTAAAAACGTGATAGTCTAGTGCATTTGCAGAACTTCTAAATTAAGCTCTCTCATTGTGTCCTAGATAATCGTTGCTACGTGTTGTCTTTTATTATCATTCTATAGAATTATCTTCATACTTTACTCATAAAACTCATCGTATTTTAAGCAGTTCCGCTTTTAATCTTACTAATTGGGCATATTACATCTCTACTGTAACAGTATGACCCGGTTTTTGTAATTCATAATGAATTATTCTCAAAACATCTCACCAAACAAAAGGGAGAAACATTTTCAAAATAAATGTAGATACCTCACTTGATCAAACCCATTATTTGTTGCATCTTCTCATACGGATCGGTTTCATTCTTTACAATAGTGGTTATAGAAGATCAGGTTATTCTAATGCCGTTGCAAATATTTTTATCTATTTAAAATATCGAAAATGTGTCCCTTCAATCTATAGCCTTTGCATTTTTTTTACGATGGTATGGCTATATATATAGAGAAGTAGTGAAGAAATCAAATCAAAGTAACGATATTTTCAAGAAAATATTTAGTTTTTGAGCAATTATGAACGAGGAAACTACTTATATAAATATATTCAAATTCAAAGATTACCTGAACATTTAAACCATTTTTTTCTTCTAATCTATAAGTTTTGTAAATTATTTCGTTTTTTATTATGATAGGAAAGGTGATGTTTCTGATTTTCCATGCAGAATATATTTATTGATTCAAAAGATTAGGGTGTGAATTGGGAGAGCATCCCCCATTTGGCACGTCGTCATAGCGCTAGAAACTTCGCGATAACGCTTTATTGGAGTTTGATGATTCCCCCAAAAGCCGCTCTTCCCCTAATTTTTCCGCCCCAAAGAGTCGCATGATGGAGCAGACAAAATTCCTTCTCCATCCTCCGTCCATACCCCCTAAAACGTAAGTAGAAGTATCATAAAAATTGGGATGTATCGATCAAGCGCGGAGCACGTACCATCCCATAAATAAATCTCCTCAATCGAATCACCAATTAATTCAAGTTTGCTCCGCGCGTTTCGCTCGCAAACTGCAATTTCCATTGTAAATAATTCTGCAATTTCTCAATATAGGAAAAGCAAACACACCGATACGTATACAAACAC